CAGGACGAGGGACATGGCTGGGGACAGGACGAGGGACATGGCTGGGGGCATGACGAGGGACATGGCTGGGGACAAGACGAGGGAACATGACGAGAGCGTGGGCGTGGCGAGCCTCCCTGGCTCGACCACGGGCACGGCGGGATGACGAGGGCGTGGGCGTGGCGAGCCTCCCTGGCTCGACCACGGGCACGGCGGGATGACGAGGGCGTGGCGAGCCTGCCTGGCTCGACCACGCTCACGGTCGGAGGGAGTGGAGAGGTGAGCGAGCCCTCCTGGCTCGCTCACTGCCATGGCCGGAGGGTGTTGCGGGGCGTGAGCGAGCTCGGGCTCGCTCACGGGCAGGAGGACGGACCGGTGAGCCGGCCTCAGCTTCCTCCTTGGCATGGTGGCTAAGCCCCCCCATGGGCTCGCTCAGAGCAGAAGGGGGGGGCCGCCACCGTCGCTCCTCCAGCGTGTCTCCGCTGAGTCCTTTGATGGCGAGTGCGTTCTGTCATGTGGGGGGTCTTGAAGGGAGGACTCAGTTGCGGAGATGAGGGAAAACAAGGTTTATTGTAACAAAAGACCAGAGTCCAGACAAAGTACAAAGCAAAGCTGTGGAAAACTGTGAGCAAAGTAACAAAGCAATAAGCAAACAAGACTGAGGCAAAGTAACAAAATAACGATTGACAAAATTGTGACAAGACTGTGACTATGGCAAGAAAAGACTATGGCAAAACAAACCTGGCGTGGGGGTGACGAAGGACAGGACGGCCAAGAGGACAAGAGACGAAAACGCACTCGCACAAGACCAGGGGAAACGAGGACTATTTAAACACATGAGGAGGGGAACCCCAGGTGTACACAATGGGTAATCATGACATGACGAGACACCAGACGTGACATAAAACACCTGTGCCAAAAACAATCAGTGTATCACAGTTTTGTGAGTGTAGCTGTCATGTGAAAAAAGACAATCATATTTCCAGTTATATCATAAAGGGTTTTGAAGGAAGTTGGCAAACAACATAAGATTATGTATATAAGGATTTGACAATCTGTTTACTGCTCTAAACATGAACTCCACAGTAAAAACTTGTTATAACAGTATTTACACCTTGACATTTTATTGTGTGAAAAACACTGAACATTTTTGTGCTAATTTTCCTTACATGCCCAGTGTTGGAGACTTCATCTAGAATCGTTCTTTTCAAAAGGCAGCAGGTGCTACCCTGGTCCTCTAAAATATGTTAAAGCACTAAGAGGCAGCCCAATAAAGAAATGTCTAAAATACTTGCACAATCCCAGTCACTTACTGAGCCTGGAGTTGTGTGTGTGCCTCTTTACGGCATAAACTAACAGTTAGTTGGAAGCGCTTCATTTCTCAGTCTATATTGAACATTCAAAAATTCAGAACAGAGTGGGAATTAACCCAAACAACCTACCCAAAGGTTGATTTTTTCTAAGGTGTTATTCTAAAAAAACGTTCATTTGAAGTTTTAAACATATTTCGGTCGTGTTTCTTGTACTTTTTTGTCTCATCCACTACATTACCTAAGCATTCACTTGTTGAGTTATGCAAATTAGGTATTGACATCATGCGACTCCTAAGAACTTTTAGGGCAGCCAGTATCTGCTAAGGTGTTTTAAACACTTACCAAGATGCACAAGTCTAAAGTCAACTGATGTGCTCCACACATTATAAAAGGGGAACTACTTTTGTCACATTTTGTGAATTTTACACATGATGGTCGTAAAAGAAAACATTAGGACTGTGTATTGAAAGAAATGCCTAACTGTTAGAACTGGGCATGCCCAACAATTATAGAAGCTCAAGAAAGGAGTGTGAAAAGGTACAGTGCCTGTAAGTGGTTGTGATCAGTAGAAGAACACATCTTTAAATCTGTTAAATAAAATTGTGTCTACCAGTCATGATAGAATTTATGTGGACAATACATGGTGTTTTCAGTTATTTAGCTGGTAATAAGGATACAACAGTTTCAAATATGGATTAGCTTATACTCTGCTGGACATTTCAATTCTAAATTGTCTTGAAAAAGCATTAAGTGTAAAGGCTATGAGATGCTAGCATAGCTCCAAATTGTACTGGCATGGCTTGCCCTGGTGGTTTTATATATATATATATACACTATATTGCCAAAAGTATTTGCTCACCTGCCTTGACTCACATATGAGCTTAAGTGACATCCCGTTCCTAATCCATAGGGTTCAATATGACGTCGGTCCACCCTTTGCAGCTAGAACAGCTTCAACTCTTCTGGGAAGGCTGTCCACAAGGTTTAGGAGTGTGTTTATGGGAATTTTTGACCATTCTTCCAGAAGCGCATTTGTGAGGTCGCACACTGATGTTGGACGAGAAGGCCTGGCTCTCAGTCTCCGCTCTAATTCATCCCAAAGGTGTTCTATCGGGTTGAGGTCAGGACTCTGTGCAGGCCAGTCAAGTTCATCCACACCAGACTCTGTCATCCATGTCTTTATGGACCTTGCTTTGTGCACTGGTGCACAGTCATGTTGGAAGAGGAAGGGGCCAGCTCCAAACTGTTCCCACAAAGTTGGGAGCATGGAATTGTCCAAAATGTCTTGGTATGCTGAAGCATTCAGAGTTCCTTTCACTGGAACTAAGGGGCCAAGCCCAGCTCCTGAAAAACAACCCCACACCATAATCCCCCCTCCACCAAACTTTACACTTGGCACAATGCAGTCAGACAAGTACCGTTCTCCTGGCAACCGCCAAACCCAGACCCGTCCATCAGATTGCCAGATGGAGAAGCGCGATTCGTCACTCCAGAGAACGCGTCTCCACTGCTCTAGAGTCCAGTGGCGGCGTGCTTTACACCACCGCATCCGACGCTTTGCATTGCACTTGGTGATGTATGGCTTGGATGCAGCTGCTCGACCATGGAAACCCATTCCATGAAGCTCTCTGCGCACTGTTCTTGAGCTAATCTGAAGGCCACATGAAGTTTGGAGGTCTGTAGTGATTGACTCTGCAGAAAGTTGGCGACCTCTTCGCACTATGCGCGTCAGCATCCGCTGACCCCGCTCCGTCAGTTTACGTGGCCTACCACTTCGTGGCTGAGTTGCTGTCGTTCCCAAACACTTCCATTTTCTTATAATACAGCTGACAGTTGACTGTGGAATATTTAGGAGCGAGGAAATTTCACGACTGGATTTGTTGCACAGGTGGCATCCTATCACAGTTCCACGCTGGAATTCACTGAGCTCCTGAGAGCGACCCATTCTTTCACAAATGTTTGTAAAAACAGTCTGCATGCCTAGGTGCTTGAATTTATACACCTGTGGCCATGGAAGTGATTGGAACACCTGATTCCGATAATTTGGATGGGTGAGCAAATACTTTTGGCAATATAGTGTATATATATATATATGTGTGTGTGTGTGTGTGTGTGTGTGTGTGTGTGTGTGTGTGTGTGTGTGTGTGTGTGTGTGTGTGTGTGTGTGTGCT